ATAAAAATTTTTTTTTTTTTTTTAAAAAAAAAAACTAATCTTAAAATAATCAAGAATAAAAAGTCAAAAAATTTCATGAACTCACAATTAAACACATGGTAAAATTATGAGTTTCATATAATCAAGATTCATATTAATTTTTTTTGTCGGATATAAAAAAAAAATATATATATATATTAAATATATATTCCTCCTATAAAATTCATTCTCCTGTAGATTTTTGGTTTTAATTTTTCATTTTTCTGGATATTAAAATGAAAAAAAAATAAAAATAAAAATAAAATAAAAAAAAAATTGAAAAAAAATAGCACATGACCGGTATTTAAAGATCACATTAATCGGACTATTCCGTCATCAAAAAAAATTAATCAATCATAAACAAAGAAATCTTTAGTAGATACAAAAAGGATCTTTTTTTTCCTAAAAGATAAAATAAGTAAAATAAGTAAATTTATTTGTTTAATTAAAATATATTATTGAGTCATCCAATCGGGAAACCAACAAAGCCAATTTCAATCAAGCCTCTTTTGATGATCTCGAGTGACGCTAATCACATGAAGATTAGCCTATTGTCGATTATTGTATAGCATTTCCTTCTTTTTATAATTATTTGATTTTACTGCTTTCCGAGAATCTTCAAAATAAGATTTGAGTAGTTAAATTATTTATGCCGATCTTATAATGCGCGATTCAATAACCGGATAATTTTAGATTATATAATATATATATGTGTGTGTATATATATATATATGTATATATACACATATATACATGTAAAGAATACAAATTACCCGAAGATATATTACATTTACATATATACACATGTATATATATATAAATATGTAATGTATTATATATATATATAACTGTTAGTTTAAAAATTTTTTAGTAATATAATTATTTATATATATTTTGTAAATTTGAATAATTTGTCACACAAAAATTTCCTACATTCAATATAAATAGACCAGACTCACAAAAACTTTCAACAACACGGTGACCTATACACTCAACAATTTATTGTTGTCATAGAAAATTTTGTTCGAGTAAATCCGTCTGTTCTTTGCATTTAGACTGTTCTCAGGTTCTAAAATATTATTTGTTGCGGAATTAAAGCAACTGTCAATATATATATATATATTATTTTATTTATTTTTTTATTATGATTATTTTCTTTTCAACTTTTTTTTATTAGAGTTGAAAATTTTATTTATATATAATTATTATATGTATATATTAATGTATGAGTATACTGTATATCATATATATTAAATAAAAAGTATTTATCCTGTCTCTTATACACATCTAGATGTGTATAAGAGACAGTAGGTACACTAATCCAATTATTAATATAATAATATGCATTTTATTGGTTGACCGGAAATTTTTGCAAATCTACGCGATAAAAAGAATAAATAAATAATCATTATATATATATATATTTTTTTTTTTTTTTAGGAAAAAAGAGACCAAGTTTCATTTTTTTATCATGAGATAAGCAATCATGTCTTTGACGGATTGGTCCTATTGGTTCTTCAAGATCACCGGAAAATGGGGAAAGTTTCTGTAATTTTAATTATCACGAAGATCATTTCCTAAAATCCTTACTATATAAAAATGATGTACATAGTACATATGAATTTATATAATATAAAATATATTGTAAAATGATGATCATCTTTCGTTTCGGAAATCAACTAACGGACTACGAACCAAAAAAAAGAAAGAAAGAAAATAACATGATAATTTACCGAAACTTGATGATAAAAATTACATAAATTATTTAAATTTTAACCTGACCAACTTATTAATATGTAAACGGATAATCTTTCGGGATCTACATAAGTGACACGATGAAATTTTTTTTTTATTGAATCTCCATTTTTGATTATAATATATGAAAAAAAGTTATTGTAGTCTTATTATTATTTTTTTAAAACTAAACCCATAAAAGTCATTTATAGAAAACTTAGAATCAAAAGTAAAATTCGTTAGTATTAAATATAATTATAATTAAAAAGTATTGTACTTTTCAGTTATTTTCTCTTTCTTTATTTAAATAACAATAAAGTATTACAAAACTTCCAAGATCATTAAAATTCCAAGAAAAGAAGTCCCAATGCAAGGATCTTCCCATTGTTGAATGGATTTGGTAGATCTTTTTATGTCTGGAAGATCTGAGTTTTTTTATGAGGATCAAATGAATGTTGTTTTTTTTTTTTTTTTTTTATAAAAGAAG